CCATAGGAATATAGGCGTTAGGTTAGCTTGAATAGGCGAGTTGTACTTCGGGAGAAGGCTACGAGCAATATTAACCCTGTCAACCAATAAACTAGATAAATTAATTAGACGATTTAAGTGGAAAACTCAACGGGATTGTTAGCTAACCCATAGCTCTAAAATATTCACTCACATTGAATTCGGCTTTAAGTTTGTCGTTGTTTTCTTTAATCTCTTAATTTGTTACTTTAGATTAATTTTAGTTAAATATTCATACGTTAGGATTCGCTTGAATAGATTAATTGTTTAGTTTAATTTAGTTGATAGTTAATCACAAGTCCCTGTGGGTACGATATCTGGACTTTACAATCCTATATTACTTGTCGACCATGTATACTTGCGTGTGCGTTTGGGAGCAACAGTGGTCAACTCGGGGATCACCCTCCGCAGGCCCCTCATTCTCGGTCGCTTCGTCGTCAACCTCAATTCTTCGTCTTCTCAGCGGATCCTCTTCCTCCTCACCATGCGATGACTCATCCACCAAATGAAATACTGAAGAAGACGGAATCTCCGATAGTGGGGAAGCAGCCCGACGGCTAGGTCTACGTAAGGCCGGGGTCTGAGAAGGAACAACAGTCTGAACGGACTCTCCTGCACCCGCGGCGAGTAGAGGCCCAATCGAAGCACCTGACTAACGAAAAGCGGGAGTAGGAGCCCTCGCCCTCCTCGGGCCCTCCGACCTACCAACAAAGAAAGACAAGTAAAAAAAAGGAGAGAGAAAAGACGGCATGAAGGTCAAAACAACTAATATCGAAATGAAATAACCCACCGGTCGAAGGTTGCGCCCAAACCTCTCATTGAACTGCGACCACTCACGGATCCCCACCGTGTGAGGCAAAATTTGGCTCACCGAGTCGGGAATGTTGGCGACTAGCGAAGGAGGATCCTTCTTGGCTACATGAAAAAGAAGAGAAGGGGGAGAACGATTAGGTCACCAAAAAGAAACAACAAATAGCCAGTTAGGAGAAATACTTACGAGCAAAGTTCCACGCCTCAGAAAACCCATTAGGGTTCGACACCACATGCTCCGTCCTCAGTAGAAGAAATTAACCCGAAAATGACGATTTGTATTATCGTCTATCTTCACCACCAATCCCTTGGTCCCACGATGGCGAAGGTGTATCATAGTACCCCTGTGAAAACTTGGGGTGAAGAGGTGGAGCAGATGACGGAGAGAAATCCCACGGTTGGCTAGCTCCACATACTTGAAAAGCATAAGGAAAAGCTTATAGATATACGGGGAGAGCTGGGCTGGACAAACGCCACAATAGCGGCAGAAGTCCTCCGCCAAGGAAGGAAGAGGAAGCGTATCACCGACGACGAACGGATACGCGTAGAATGCGCAGTATCCTGGGCGATGTATTTGCACCACATCGTCACCAGCCGGGATAAGGTCGGCATGGTCTGGAATTCACCATTTAGCCCTAAATTAACAAGTGTCGCCGCATCCATATCAGAAACGACGGGCTCAGGATCATCTTCAGGTCGCTTCGAGAAGTCCGACCTGGTCCTCCCCGAACGAGGAACTATCTCATCTACAGTGGGGAAGCTCCCATCTTCTACAACAAAGGCCACTCCTTCGTCATGAGAAGGCATGTCCACAGTCAATGGGACAGGATCAGAAACTCTCTCAGGGTTAGAAGATGCACTAGCCATTTTCTATCACGTATATGGGAAGAAATTACAAGTATGAAAGGGGTAATAACAGCCGGAAACGCTAGAGAAGGGAGCAACAAGGATGCAAGAATTCTGAGAAGAAGAAGGGAAAGCTTGAAGATTCAAATGCTTAAGAAATGCAGCAGGTCAAATGGGGATCTCCCATCCCTATTCAGAAGAATATTGGCACCCTAATCAAGAAGGCCAAGCGCCGCCACATTGATTTCGAAACGGAAGGGGTGCAGGAAACGATGTAACGTATCGGGAACATGCGCCATAATGACGAATGATGAAATGATGTCATTACAGACTGATGTAACGGTCATATGTGGCTCTCAAAGCGCCACGTCATCACCTCGCCCCAAGAACTTTATTACCCTACGTGCCCAGATTTCTGAAGTTGCAACTAGCGAAGTTCGTCCATCAACCTCGTCCAAATACACCTCGACATGCGGATGGACTAACTGTATGGGTCAAAATCTGACTAAGGAAATCTGGCACGAGGTTAGATTACCAAAAGGTAATTAGGCCGAGGTCCTGCACAAGATTAAAGAAACCAACGGGCGAGCTGATTAATCGGGGCCGAGGTCAGGAACTCTGGCCGGCCATAACGACTAGTTTTGTAGTAAAATATTTTAGGGGAATATTCCACCGAATATTCCCTGTACTTGTACTTTACTTTAGGTAAGAGATATATTCCATATAAGGAGGAAGGGAGAGAGGAGAAAGGGGCATGTAATATTCTATATAATAAGATCTCTCATGAAAATTTGACTCTCAAGTAAATTACAAACATTATCTTTCCACAAATATTCGTTTTGTTGTTCATCCCACACTTTCTCGCATCAGATGTGAGAAAGCTCCCTATATCCCCACGTTTGTTTGTCTTACACCATTGTGAGAGAGAAGAATCATCCACCTCACTCAATATTTGGGTGAATCATTCTCTCTATTTACATTTATTGTCATTTTATATATTTATTGCTTATCATTATTCCCCCACACACTCATAATAGTACCATTTAATACTCATTGTATTAAATTGATTTAAATGCAATTATACGTTGTTCATATCAACCGATTTCAAATCTAGGATTTATTATGTTTAACTAGGATTTGCCCACTATCTTCTTATTTAATTAATTTAACAAAAAAGTTTAATACTTTTTGGTCAAACACTCTCGAGCGGGGGCGAACGCAAATGGGTGAAAGCGGTGTTAACCACAAACCGAAAAATTTTACATGTCTAAAAATGAAAAAAGTAGTATATAAACCGGAAAGGATGGGATAGAAAAGTGAAGGTAGAAGAAGGAACGGTTTTCTCCAAAATAAAGAGATTTTCACAAAAATTGGCATAGAAAAGTTAAAAGAGGAAAAATAGAAAAAAAGAGGCTTTTAATTTTGGTGTTATGATTAACAACCCCAATTGAAGAATCATTTGAATATAACATAGGATATTTTAGTCATTTCATGACATTCTAAAGGGATAGCTAATAGAGTGTCTCTTACTTTCCTACGTTATAGTAAAAAGAATAAGAAACGCAAATGTTAAAGAATAACATATTAAATTATTCAATTTAGTCTAGATACGAAATAGAGTTGGCAAATTAAGCATCATTACAAATGGAGTTGGCAATTTTGTCTACATGAGTAGTAGGTTGCACTTTTTTACTCAATTGGACGAGTTATACCAAAAGTAAATTGAAAACAAATTGAATCAAAAAACATGCCCAAATACAAGTAATGATCAGGAAAGATCAGTTTTAGATTAAAAAAAATGGTAGAAAACATTTTCTCCTTTAATAGTTTCTCGGATTAGTCAGAATTTCAATGCGGGTGCCGTGGAATTGAAAATCCCCCCCAAAAAAGTAGTTACAAATTTGGTCAAACTATATTTTCTTCTTTTCTTTTCCTTTGCATTGACAATGATATTTGTGTCTTTGATTAGGGAGAAATTCAAAAATAGTCAGATTTACAACTGGTCATTCAAAAATAGTCACAGTTTCAAAAGTAATCGAAACTTAGCCACTTTTCATGTAAAGATAAATCTGAACGAAAACATTGTTCAAAATCCGGAAAATACTCCAGCATAATATACTGGAGTTCCAGCATAAGTATACTGGAACTCCAGCATATTATAATGGAGTTCAATGACTTTGCAAATGCTGATTATTTTTGAATGACCAGTCTGAAAACTGGCTAGCCCGTGCAATTTTAACGTTTGATACTTGACCAATTAATGCTGAAATTGACCCTACACTCAAACCTTTAAAAATTAAAAGCAACCGCGATAGACATTGATGATACCAATTAATGTTTTTATAAATAAAGCATCTGGTGTTATGTCAATAAACTGTCCATTTTCAATTTACTTCACTTGAACCAGAGTTGAACAATCTAAATATAGATAATTGACCAATTTGTTTGAAATTGAGGAGTAGTTGATTGAAATTATTTTGCTTCACTTTGATTTATTATATTTCATAAATCCAACAAAAGAATTTCTTTGATTAAAACAAAAGGGCCAACCTTTTCTTTTTTAACTCCATGTACAGCAAAGCCTGCAATTTTTTGCTTCAGATGGATAGTCTGATTTTTTGTATTGAGACATGCTATAATAATTAAGAAATAACAAAAGCCATTAGCTTATTGTCACAAGTTAGTTTCAACTTTATGGTAAAGAAAATAAGTAATCGGACATCAATTGATTAAAAAAAATTAAGTGCTACTCCCTCCGTTACATTTTAACGGTCGCTTTAGCTCTTTTCACGTCTATTAAGAAAATTAATAACTATTCCCTCTGTCTCAAATTATTTGTCGTGTTTCTTTTTTACACGTCCATTAAGAAACATTAATTAGAAAAGGGATTAGACTATCTTACCCTTATTTATGTTTTAAGATAAAATCTCTCTTCATTGAATATTTATACTATTTATGTGTTATTTCCATCTTCAAGAACAATTATTACTAAGGGTACAAAAGGAAAAAAAGAATCTATTTTATCTTGATCTTCTAAAATGACAAATAATTTGAGACAATTATTTTTAAAAACCACCACAGATAATTTGAGACGGGGGTACTAACTTCTTTAATATTAAGGGTGTAGTTGAAAATAATTGACAAATTTAGTCTTAAAATCCTGAAATCATTAATGTCATTACTAACCAAGAGACAAAAGAGTGAAACAAATTTTACTATTTCTCATTGAATTGAAACAAAACTAAAAACTGAAAAAGAACAATTAACTATTACAAAACAAGAAACAAAGGAACATTTAAACAAAAAATGAACAACAATAATTCAGACTAATCATATAACTCAGCATCACAATCTTCAGCTGCAACAGAATTCTCAAAAGGATTTTCCTTAGCAGCATTAGCATCAGTTTTATTATTTGTGAACTTGAATTCACTACCAAAACCTCTTGATTGTTGCAAAGACTGAGCAAAATCATGGTATTTTAAAATGTCCAAATCACTAACACTTCTCCTAGCAAACTTCATTGATTCCTCAAAATGTTCAACCTTAATTTCTGCAACCTCTTCTTGAATATCTTCCTCCATTATATCAGGATTCTCCATTCTCTTCTTCTCCCTCTCAATATCCTTTTCGATTTCTCCCCTGATCGCGTATTTACAAGCGCGTTGACATATTTCAGTAATGTCTGCTCCACTGTATCCTTCAGTTAACTTGGCTAGATGTCTCAAGTCTACTTTGCTAGAAACAGGTGATTTTCTTAAGCATGCGCGAAAAATTTGGTGTCTTGATTCTTCATCAGGGAGAGGAATGTATATCAATTGGTCAAGGCGCCCCGGCCTTAAAAGTGCAGGATCAAGAATATCTGGCCGATTGGTTGCACCTATAACGAAAACGGTTTTCTTGGCATTCATTCCATCCATTTCGGTTAGGAGTTGATTCAATACTCTATCAGCAGCGCCACCAGCATCGCCTACTGAACTTCCTCTCTTAATAGCAATTGAGTCTAACTCGTCGAAGAATAGAATACAAGGTGCAGATTGGCGTGCCTTATCGAAAAGTTCTCTGACATTAGCCTCACTTTCTCCGAACCACATTGTAAGCAATTCAGGACCTTTGACACTGATGAAGTTTGCTTGGCATTCGTTCGCGACTGCCTTAGCCAGCAGAGTTTTACCACACCCGGGCGGACCATGGAACAGAACACCCTTTGAAGCAGACATCCCGAATTTCTCAAACAATTCAGGATGTTCCACTGGATACTGAACTGTCTCTTGAAGCTCGCGTTTAACTGTCTCAAGCCCTCCAATATCATCCCATGAAACGTTTGGAACTTCAACGACTGTCTCACGAAGAGAAGAGGGATTTGTTGTTCCTAAAGCAGCCTTGAAATGTTCGTTATTAACTGCCATGGAATTGAGTACTTCAGCATCAATAGTTTCGTCTTCCATGTCGATCACATCCATCTTTTCCCTAATGCATTGAAGCGCGGCCTCAGTAGTCAATGCTGCTAAATCAGCACCAACATGACCATGTGTATCCTTTGCAACCATTTCCAAATCAACATCCTCGTCCAACTTCATGTTCTTCGTGTGAACACGAAGAATCTCAAGGCGACCAACCTCATCAGGCACACCAATATCAATTTCCCTGTCGAATCTCCCAAACCTTCTCAATGCAGGATCAATACTATTAGGCCTATTCGTTGCAGCCATAACGACAACATGTGCACGCGACTTAAGTCCATCCATTAATGTCAAAAGCTGCGAAACAATCCTCCTTTCTACCTCTCCATTAGTCTTTTCTCTATTAGGCGCGATAGAATCAACCTCATCAATGAAAATTATAGAAGGTGCATTCTTTTCAGCTTCCACAAAAGCATTCCTCAAATTAGCCTCACTCTCTCCAGCCATCTTAGACATAATCTCAGGTCCATTAATAACCAAGAAAAATGCACCAGTTTCATTAGCCACAGCTCGGGCTATAGTCGTTTTCCCTGAACCAGGTGGTCCATACAAAAGAATCCCTTTAGGCGGTTTCACACCAATACACTTAAATAGCTGTGGATGTCTCAATGGCAACTCAACCAACTCGCGAATTTGCGCCATTTGTTTCCTAACACCACCAACATCATCGTATCCAATCTCGTCTAATGCTCGTTCCTCGTCTTCCCTTCTAATCGGATCACCCTCGATAAAAATCTCCGTATCAGGAGCAACGATACAATAATCAGGTGGATCAGTTTCCACAACCTTAAATTCCACACTCCTCATCCCACCTCTAACATTAAAAATATCACCTTTTCTTAACGGACGATAAGAATCAGTAAAATAAGGTTTTAAATAAACCTCAAAAAGATCACCTGTTAAACCTTCAATAGTATCATCAATAGGAAGAACATGCACACGTTTACCATATTGAATATTACTACAAAGATGGACAGAAGCAATATCACCTAAACGAATTCGTAGGTTGTTTCTAACAACTTTGTTCATACGAATCTTTGGTTCTTCACATGTTTCATCAACTTCTGCTGTACTAATTGTATCTCTTTTTCTTTTTCCTTTGATTAAAACAGTGTCGCCGCGAAATAGTTGAAGTTTTTCCATAGTTTCTGGATTGAGAAAAACAATGGAGTTTTCATCTTTTGTTGAATCATCAACTATGAGTCTATTTGGTGCTTTTTTTCTTTCAAGAATTGCTGTGGTATAGTCTTTTTTGGTTTCTTTGGATTCAGAGGACTGGTGTTTGTTTTTACCTTTCATGATTTTTTTGCAGAGAAGAAGAACAAGAAGAAGGATTTGGTTTAAGAAGAGATATGAAAATTGGAGGAGATTTAAGGGGTATATATAGTTTTGGTTTTCTTTGTCCGAATGTTATATGGAGACTAGGAATATGTTCTTTTTTGGGAATTATGTTTTCTATTTTTAGTAGGAAAGGGATTTTCTTTTATAATTCGTTGTTTATAGGGAATGAGTTGAAAGGCGGCTTATTAATCCTTTTCCTATTACTAATTGGATTTCCAATTTAAAGTGTACTTCGGACCCGTTTGTCCATATAAATTTTTTTTTCGACATATTTTTTCAAAAATGTATTTGTTCATGAGATTTTGTAAGTTTTTAGAAATTTTTTAAAAATGAGTTTTTCAGAAACCAAAATTTCAAAACTGCAACCTTTTTTCATGTGAAATACATGTCCAAACATAATTTTAAATTCTAAATACCATTTTCAACTTAACTTTAAATACTATTTTTTTTCAAAAATTATAATTTTTTATGTCCAAACTGTTTAACCAAATAATGTGTACTTCGGTTAAAGCTTATTTTTAGAAGTACTCGGGCTACTGATAATCAAGAATTTCTATATTCTCTTAGCAATAAGAAAAGAAATTAGAATGTGAAATAACAAAGTAATCAATAGAAAGCAAAAGAAAGTAATTATATTCCAATAATAATCAGAACGTGCCTTTACAAGTGAAATCCCCTTTCCTTATATAGGAATCTATAAGTACAACGTTTCTTCCCTTTTATGACTGAATCATTATGAACATTAATAATATTAATGAGACGTTATAATTGACAATCGTAACTATTCATGAAGATTCTGTAACGTCTATGATCATTCATGCACATTAATTGACGATTCATGAATCTTCCTTCTTTACTGTCTTGATTCATTATGCCGGTGTCTCTTCATATAGCAACTCAGACTCGAGCGACTATACCCCTTTTATCTCGTGGGTGATTTGCTCGTACCTATTACGACTCGTACATCTTTTAATGCATCTCTCCAAATGTTGCTTTCTTAGTGATCCACGTATCTTGCCACATCAGCCACATATATAAATCCACGTGTAATATTTATTTTTACCAATACAGATAGTCCCCCAACTTACCAATTATTCAGCAATTGAATATTTGGGAAGTTGATCACATTTATGGCGGGAATTTTTTGCTGCCGTTTCTCATGTATCATTGCGTCTTCTTCAGAACCATCGCGTCGTATGACACTTCCATTTAATGTTTGTGACACGTAGCATTCATTGATTGGATATGCAACTCTTCAGCGGTTTTTAGGGCTTTGCTATGGCTGCATCATTCACGAACTGACTGCTTTCATTATGACATTTCCATCATGAACCCCTTCATATGACGGTTGCTTCTTCGTATAAATACCTCCTTATGCCTTTGCTTTCACGAAAACCTTCAATCTACAGTATTCTTCTTCCATAATAGTTCTTGTTCATCAGCTCGTATTTTTTTCTTATACAACCATGTCTTTTCCAAATCCCGATCCGCGTAGAGTAGTTATAGTAGATGAACTCCCCCCTTCATCTGCTCCTATCAGAAGTAGAAGAGGTGGTAGATTACGTAGTTTAGGGTCTGTATCTATTCGTGGTTCTTCTTCTCAACCTAGTGTTACTACCCCTTCGTCCTCTAGAACTAGGGCTTCTTCTTCTCATAGATCTTCTGCTAGAAGTAGGGATTCTAGTGAACCTCTTCGAGAACCCACTGTTGATGAGATTGTCCCCGCTGGACTTTCCTTCTCTACTGATCGAGAATCGATTAGAAATCAAGTTACATCTATGACTTCCCGTGATTGTGCTGATGTTTACCCTTCCCAGATTACTAAGGGCTTGATTTCTCTTGTGCGAAGTGAATGCCATTGGAAATTTGATTTCCCAATTTTAGTCCCTAATGCAAATCAAAGGATCACCTCATACAAAGCTGGTTATTCCTTTGTTTATACATATCCCTTTACATTAGGCTTCAAACCACCTATTGATCCAGTCATTATAGAATTTTGCCGTTTCTTTAATGTTTGCTTAGGACAGATTGGTCCTATTGTATGGAGAGCCGTGTCATGCTTAAGATACTTGTTAAATTTGGCCTCTTTACCCTTTACCTTTTATCACTTGATTCATCTATATTCCCCCAAGTTGTTTCATTCTGGGTATTTACTCTCGTAGCGAGGAGTAAAAGGGTTTTGGTTAGCCCTGAAGATGACAAGGATCGTGGCTGGTATGCCCGTTTCACTGCTGCTCTCACAAAAGGTTTAGTGGGTGAAGAGAACATGCCATTTCCAGAAAAATGGAACTTTGCACGTATGTTTTTCTTTAACCTTCTTCTTCTTTTTCTATTGAAGAAACAAGAACTTACAATCTCTTGACTGTATATTTTTTTTCTCTTTTTCAGCAACCATGGAAGCTGTTGAGGAGATTCCAGACTTTCGTGGTTGGGTAGGAAAATTGTTGACTGTTGCTCTTACGGAAGGAAGGTCTTGGAAGTACCTTTCTAATAGGTTTGGTTGGAAAGTGAAGACTCATGGTATCCTTCCTTTCAATTTTCTACCTTGAAAATTTACTAACTTCTTGAAAATTTACTAACTTCTTTCTTCGTTAGGGTTTCCCATTCGGGGTGTTGGTGCCGCATCTATTGCTGCTTCAAGACTTTCTCTATCTATGGCTCAAGAGATGATTTTGAGTTCCCCATCAAAGAGAAAAGCTAATAGGGCACACGGTTCCGAGGGTGAAGAGGAACAAGAGGAGGGCTCATTAGTTCATAAGGCCTCGAGCTAGGAGACGTGTTATTTTGGATGACGGGGCCTTTCCTCCTCCAAGTTCAGTTCACATGCACAAGCCCGAAAGTACCACTTTGGTGAGGTCCGATGAAGAGATGCTTGCCGCACCCCGTGACTCTGCAGAGTAGCTCTTTTCTCATGGTTTGATAGTGAAGATTTCAGCTTTGTTTTTGAGGAAGCGCCTCTTGCCTCTTTCCCAGTATCTGTTCCAGTTGATCCTCAGTTCCCTGTACCTGTTGCTGTTGCTACTGCTCCGCTCGTGGCTATTTATACTCCCTCAACTGCCCCTACTGTTACAACCTCTCATGTTGAAGTTGGTTCTTCCAGTAACAGTAGGGTAATGACAAAAGTTACCATCGAAGTCCTTGAGGATGGTAATCTTCTGAAGAAATCTGGCCAAGCCGATGTATGGCTAAAACCGTAGATTGTCCCAGTTGAGAAGTCCAAATCGGAAAGCCACAGCTCTTTAACGTGGATGAATGAAATTGTCCATTCATCTTTAAAGGTATAAGCCTTAGATTTTTATTTTGCATGTGATTTTCTTTTCATCTGTATTTGGTAATCACATTTTCCTTTTCTAATTGGCACGGAGCTGATGAAGAGGATAGTCCATACTAAGCAATTAATGAACGACTATCGCACCGAAGCAGACAACTGGAAGGAACAGTTTGATGGCCTTGAGCTTAAGAAAGAAATTTTAGATGAGGAGAAGTGTACCTTGGAGCAACAAGTGAAGATAATGGCAGCAGAGTTGGCGATTCAAAAGTCCTCTTCCAGTCAAGTGGGCAAGGATAAAGTCCTCCTCGAGTCTTCATTTGCCGAGCAACTTTCCAAAGCCACTAAAGAAATTAGAGGTTTGAAAGAACTGCTAAACCAAAAAGAAGTTTACGCCGGGGAGCTTGTTCAAACGCTCACCCAAACTCAAGAAGATCTTCGTGTTTCTTCTGACAAAGTTCAGTTCTTAGAGAGGTCACTCGCTCCCTTACAAGCTTCTTATGATGTTGTTTAGACTGAAAAGGAAGAGCTAAGTGCCAAAATTGAGCAGTGGGAGAGGGATTATGAAGCCCTTGAGGACAAAGCTACTGTTGATGTTAGTTGGCCTTTCTTGAACACGCGCCTAAAAAATAGAGGCAAGCCAGGAAGGCTTTGACTTAGCTGCTGAAATTGCAAAAACTAAAGAAACTATTGAGAAAACTCAGCAGAGCAAAAACTTTTCTTCACCTGAGGTAGACATTCCCATGGGTGATGAACTTACTCCTGGTGAAGCTGTTGTTCAAACCTCTTCTGCTCAAGTTGAACCTCCTGCTGCTGATTATGCCATCTTGAATCCTTCTGATAATACTAGTTCAGAACCTGCCCCATAGTGAAAGTTTGATTGAAAAGTTTATTTTTTTTATTTTTTTAATTGGTGGAATGTTTGGAAGTCTACCCCTGGTCCATTTTGGGTTTAGCAATGATTGAAAAGTTTTACCCCTGGTCTGTTTTGGGGTTTTTGTATCAAATAGTTAGGTTGGAACTAAGTTTATACTTAGTTTTAACCAAGTTTATATAATATTACTTTTCGAGTTTTTGTCCAACTCTTATAATATCTTATTTTGAATTTCTGTTCTACTCTCTTATTTGCCTTATGTTTGCAAAGTTTGATATATAAATTCCGGCTTTATTTTCTGCCTATTTTAATGTTTGGGTTTTTGTTTCACCCTTTGTTATTTAACTTTTCATTAAAAATGCTTCAATGCTTCGTGGCCTTTTTGAATAAGCACGAATTGTAAAAGAGGGCCCTTTTATAAACGTCACTTAATGAAGAAGACATCTCAACTTTATATTGGTGTAAACATACAAAAGAAGAAGTAGGAACATACATATTTCTTTGAATAATTTGAGGAAGTTTTGTATTCTTGAACTTTCAAATTGTATACTTTGCATGTATTCAAATAACATCTACAACTCTTTCATAACTGTTTTCTTTATAACAGATTTTACGAAATTCAAGGGTATATCTTACAACCCACGACTAAATATTGCCTTTATCCTAGATACTCGTAAGATTTTGTAATTTACATCTGCGAGTGTATACTTCATCATAGGTTTTTGAATCAGGCTTGTGTTTTTGGCTCTTGATTTGCTTTTAACTTTCGATTTGTTGGGTAGATTGCCTCAGCTTGACTCGAATTCTGACTTTTCT